CAATGTCTACAAAGGCATTAGTAAAATAAAGTTTATCTCAAGGTTAAATGAAATTACAACATTACTGATATCACATACTTTTATAGAAATCTGTACAAATAACAGTTAACAAATTATCTTATAATCAATCTTGTGAAAAGTTGAGGTTTTAACTTTTAATTCCAATAATTTTCCACTGTAAAAATTACTGCAACATATTTTACATAATAAATAATTATGATTATTTAAATATGAAAGTCAATATGTTTTATTTATAAAAAAAAAAAAAAAAAAAAAAAATTTAGATTTAAAGCCTAAAACCCAACAGCAGTGTTCCTGGTTTTAAATTCAATACAAGAGGGACTCTAAATCTAAGAAAATAGCAATTTTTCATTTAAGAAAAACAAGCTGAGGTTAGAATCTACATTATTACACATTTTTTATAAGCTTATGCAAGCAATCATCAAACCCTTCAGTTTCTCAAATGGCTAATAATGGTACTGAATTTTTTTAAATATTGTTCACCTAAGTAGCATTTTTTTTTTAGTATGTTTATGCAAGTAACAAATTTAATCGTTAATTAGAAAATTATGAAGTATTAGAAATATTGTGTAATTTGAGCTAATATTTTTAAAATCCTTTTTTCAAAACTATATATTAGGGCTAATCAAAATATCAAATAAAAAATACATAGGCAATAATAATTTACTTTGAAAATAGAGCATAAAGAATTTTAAAAAATATTAATATTCCTTTTAATATTTTTAAAAAAATACTGTGAATTATCTAATTATTGTAAAAATAATTAGATAATTAACGTTACAATATTTTTGCAAAAAATAGACATATTTTCATGTTGAGACCAGTTTTAAAAATATTTGTTGTTGAAAAAGTAAAAGCTGAGTTAATGATAACTATTTTTTGAAATGTAGCACCAAATTCAGTAACTCAGTTTGAATAAATGACAAAATTTTTTACAAAAACAAAACAGCAAAAGTCAAAAATATATATTCTAAAAAAATAATTAAATTTCAAAATAAACAACGTTTTTACATTTACAATCAGATAGGTCATGCTCATAATCAACATTTCACACTAAAAAAAAAAAAAAAAAAACATTCAAGAAAACTGGGAAGAAAACCAAAATCAAGTATAGAAGAAAGAAAACTATTTTTATATTAACAAAGTCAACTCAATAATCATTCATTGTAGTTACATAAAAAAAAATCGTGCTTACTCTACGTACACATTGCATAACAGCAGTATGCACCAAAAACCAGACTAGTCAGAAACCACATACATTTGCAATGGTATCAAACCTGATTTTATTTTTATGTACTTTGTGTACTGTACTTATTGTTGATTTAAACTAAGGTAGTCGTTAAAGTAAACGTAGGACTTAATACTATTTACTCCTCTGTCAAAATTATAAAATAATTTCATGCTAATGCAATATGCAACAGCCACTACTAGATAATAAATTAGTACATATTGTTTTCTTTATTCAGAGTTGGGAAAAGTTGATCAGACAAAGGAAATCAGTTAAAGTAAAAGCTAATAAGAAAAATGTGCTTTGTTGGCAGTGCGACAGTCTTAAAATTTATTTTAAGAAAATTAAAAAAAAAAATACAAGAAAACGGCATTTTTTACAAATCAGGTTTGATTTTTTTTTTTAAGATTAAGCTCCTCGTCGACTTCAGAGAGGAATCAATTTTTAGTCGACTATCTCATTATTAAATTAAATGCAAGTAATCGTCAAAGATTTCTCCAGCTTTACCAACAAGTCTTGCTATTCTAATAATTCTTCATAAACGTGAAGGGAAAAGGCTTGAAATGATCACTACAAAATCGTTTTTTTTTTTATAAGACATAACGCACGCGGAAATTTGAAGAAATGTATGTTTAAATGTTTATATTAGTAATAATCCTTTTAGGATCGACGTGAATTAATACAATAAACATGGCCCCTTCTTTATAAACCATTTTGCGAGTTTATTAGTCTGAAAGTGTTGATAACATACGGTTTCTCTTTTTACCCCAGATCATCACAAATGTATTTTTTAACCTTAATAAATCTAAGAGTTATGAATAGCACTTCACTTCAGTCACTCAGTCATTCCAACAATTAGAGAGGAAATTAATATTCTTTCTTTCTTTCCTTCACAGATAGAATATTATTGGTTTGAAATAAATGTCACATGCAACTACTAGAATTACTCTTAATGTTTATAGTTTCTTGTAACTGACTAACATAATAACAACAGAAATAGTAGCAGTCGTATTTAGAGCGATGAGGAGTAGTGTTTCTCCTTCACAAAAGAAACAGCCATATCCACGCTACTCTACTGGTATTTTTTTTTTTTTTTTTTTTTTTTTTAGAAACACCCTATGCAACTCTACTACTACTACTTACTTCCCACACATCCCAAGGATAACTACAATAAAGAAAGACTGGTTCATGCAAATTCCATTACCACTTCTTGCTTAGCAACAAACCCATATTACAAGAATTAAAGAAATAGAGGGAAAAAGGAAAGAGAAATTGGCAGTTTTTGTTTAGTCTTAAAAAAAAAAACAAAAAACGTTAGTGCCAAGTATTCTTAGCTTTTTTTGTTTATTGTAAAATGTACATTTCATTTAACCTAAAATAAATTTAACTTTGTTATGTAGAACTCAATTAGCGAGATATTTTTTAACGCAAATTAAAAATTATCACTAAACCAAAATAGTCGTCGAAAATAAGATTCTGATAGAAATATGAAGAAGGTCTCTATAGAAAACTAGTTAATAACTACAATCACGCCAGACGATTTCTTCACACCGAGTCCCCCACATCCAGTCCTCCTTGCCCATAAAGGTGTGTTACTGTTTAATCACGTGATTCAAGTGTTGTCAGTGGTTCTGTCGAAAATAATAATAATCACCACCTCGAAGTAATTTTCAAATTGTTTTTTTTTCCTCTGATCATCAAATTTAATTAGTTGAGTTACCAACTTCCTTCTGAATTTCATAAAACAACTTTTAGTTTTAAAACGGCTTAAACACCCAAAAAACCTTTTTTTAGATATTTTTTGGTAAACAATAAAACAAAGTTAAAATATTCAGTTTTTTTTTATAAATTTTAGATTTAAAAATTTCTATTACAAATTTTGCTGAGATAGTAATGAAACGTTTACTCGGAATATGAGCGCAGGTGCAAAATATTACGAAAACGATTAAGAAAAGCTCTCTCTATTGTAATTTTGTGAATCTCCTAAAAGGATTCCGATTTGAGGTGAAAAAAAGACAAATGAAACATTTGTAAATTTAAATTAGAATTTTTATACTTTTTTTGAAAAAGAAACTGAGAAAAATATATCCCACACACAAAGATCAAGATAAAGTTTATTTTTAGCAAAATACTAGCACTGAGTGACTGAAATAAATTTAATAAATGATCTTTTTTTTTGTTATACATAATTATAATTGGCTTTATCAATAATGGTTTCATATCTGTTTTAATTTTCAGATCTGCTAGAAAAAAAAATCATCACAATACGAAGTGGTGGTACGACACGCCATCAACACAGGTCTTTTCTGTCCTCTCATGTACTTAAGAAAAGTGAAAGAAAATATCTAAAAATATTTCCTATCTTATTTTTTTTTTTAAATGATTTTTTTAAAGTCTAAAATTTTTTTATAAAATGATAAATATTAGTTTTTTTTAATTCATTGAATGAAAAATTGAAAATTTATGGTTTTTTTTTTTGTAATATTTTAAATTTTAGAGAGATTTCTGTATTTTGTATATTTTTTTTAACCATGAAAAAAAAAAAAAAAAAAAAAAAAAAGTGTTGGTATTTTTTTTTATTAAAACGTGAAAGCAGAAATATTTTTAAGAGAAAAAAAAATAAAAGATGTACAATGTTGTACATTATACATTATACAATAATACATTCATTTTTATTAATCGACTCAGCCATAATTCACTAGAAAAAGTAATTAATTGATTTAAAACAGAACTGTTTTTTTTTTAACACTAACCCCAAAATAACCGATTTTTAATTTATGTAATCTTAACTGTCACTACAAAAACTAAATATTTCCTTTAAAAAATCTGAACCATTTTTTTTTAAATTAAGAGAAATAGGAAGCTCCATAAAAAAACTGATCATTGGAGTTTGAAATACGAGAATAAATGTAATTAATTTGTTGTTTTAAGATTTTAAATAAAATTAAAATACGGTATCCAGCAATATTTTGTTTATTTTATTTATTAGATATAAATTATTTACTTATTTTTAATTTTGCTTAAGTCTGCGTAAAATATTTTACTCTTTTTTTTCTTTGTGATAGAAAAAAAAAAACGAATTACTGACAGAATTTTCATAACGTCAATGAGATGAAAAAAAAAACTTTTTACAAGTGTCACAAATTATACAATAGATAAGAAACTCATCATCAAGAATGGGTGAGAAGGTGTGTTTATCAGGTGACAACCTTATCAGTAATCGTACTGAAGAAAATCGAAAAATAAATAAAAGCAGCATCTGCGAATGATTTTTCAAAGACGTTTTTAAATTTATTTCTTTACTACTGTGATTTTTATTTCAATATTTATTTTTCTATATGATCCCAAAATAGACTCAGAACCTATTGTTTGCAATACGAAAAAAAAAAAAAAATACATTGATAAAAATTAAACAAAAATACAGTTTTCTTTGTTAAATGAAGATGAAGAAGAACTAAAAATAAAAACATTATTTAATAAAGAACAACAAAATGTCTTTCTAGTTTTATTTCGTGCCTTTTCCTTTCAAACGTTTTTTTTTAAATAAATAGATCACCCTGTTTATTTTAGAAATATTCTTAGAAAAATGATCCTACGTTTTTTCCTTAGAAGTTGAAGTAAATGAGGAAATATCTAAAGATAATGAAGGATTTTCTAATGATAAATATAGCCTAAGATAGCATTTTTTCTTTCTTTTTTCAAACAAATAGTTTTGCCTTTTTTTTATACTGACTTGTACTTTCAACGCTACCTTTGTAGTGGACCCTCAAGTTGTTCTGTGACAGCCCGATGTAGGTATACTTGTCCTTAGGACTCCAAGATCTAGGCAATGGAGTTTCGTCCTCATTTACGGCCGGGTACAAAGACTTTAGTCGATCGCCACAGCTCCGGTTTTCTTTATCTTTGGAGTTGTAAGCATTTCCATCAACAAAACTAGACGCCATCATTCGGCTACTAAAACTCGCAGAACCCGGATGTCAGCAGCAGCAGCGGAGGCGACGGCGGGAGTGAAAAAAGAACAGCCGACTAATATTTTTTTCCCCCCCTAAGCTAGCGGCGGGGATCGAAAAGGTTGTTGTAAAAGCAACAGGAGCAGCAGCACTAAGAAGAGCAGCGTGAAGAGTATTTATAATTGGAGTAGCAGCAGCATCAATAATGGTAAGCAATCATAGTAGGGAAAACTGGATAATCTCCCCTTTGTTTATTTACTGTCCGATAGAGTGAGACACTTGTTTCCTTTTTTTTTTAACTTTATTTTCTCGTACCCACCACACTTTCTCAATCAGTGTAATGTTACTATGGTGACAGCAAACTGGTGACTTTTCGCGAGCTTTAGGTAAAACAAAAGATGTCCATTTATTTATAACATGAACAATTATTTCCAGTCATTGGTGTTGCGAAATGGTTGAAAGCTAAGAAAGGTGACTTTTTATCTCAAGTACTGGATTAGCTTCATGTTTACATTATTTGCACGACAAGTGGAGGTGTAATTTTTAAAAATTATTTTAAAAAGAGAAATTAATTTTTTAATTTCTCTTATTTTTTTCTCTCTTTTAGATTTTGAAGAACGATTTCAAAAATCTGTCAGAACATTTTTTTTTTGTTGTTGATAGATTTTGTTTCAAATTATCAAAATTTAATTTAGCGTTGTTGCATTTTTTTAAACAAAAATGTAGTTGGTTGCCATATTGAAATACTGATTTTCATGGCTTTTTAAAGACACTTACAATTACCTGTGTTTTTTTTTTTAACTAATTTCATAGCCGTTTTTAAATCTGAACAGTAAGTAAAGTTGTTTGTTATATAAAAGGAAGGTCCAAAAAATACTTTATGGTAGAGACCCATACCAGAACTTAAACAGCTTCAGCAGTGAATTAACAAAAAAATAATTGGAACATTTCTGACCGCATGGTATATAGCAAGAAGTTATTGTTATTATAACAAATAGATCTTTTTGGGTTTTTTTTTTTCTTCAACGTTATTTATTGTTGGAATTGTATAGTTAAGAGATGGATATTGTGATTTAAATAATTTGTTTAATAGTTCAAGTAAGCACAGATCTGCCGCGTATTATTAAAGTTCAACAGCGGACAGGAGAGTCCTACAAACTAAAAAGGGTTAAAAATGTTGCCCATAAGATAATCGACTGCCTGTTGCCCTCCTTGTAGGATATTTCTAATTCTTGTTGTAGCACAGCCAAAAATATAATAGAAAACAGTACACATCCTGGGTACCAGTTGTTTGACCTGTTACTTTCAGGGCGATGTTTTAGATCTATTCGTTCTAGAACAAAGCACTTGAGTGACAGCTTTATCCTTGGGCCCTGTGTAAAAAGAACACTGCTACACACCAACAATTTTCAACATATATTAATTAAACCGTAAACGTCATTACTTTTCTTCACTTGATGCTATGAGTTTGTTTCATCTGTGGTGTGTGTGTATATGTACGGTTTTTTTGGGGGGGTGGGGGGTTATGTGCTGTTGCACCTGGGAATTGCTGTTGAATTTCATTTTGTATTGTATAGGGACGAAAAAGAACTTTTTTTTTTCTTGAAGGTGATAATAAAGATTTGACTTTAGTTTCATGGAGACTATACTGAGTTTTTAAAATATAATGAAAAAATGGTACAGGATTTACAGAACCCATTTATTTTTTTTCTGGTGTTTTTTAACAAAAAATACAAAATTACTTGAAGCAGTAAACTTAATAATATTTGTCATAGTAAAAGATATTACTTACCCAAATATTAAACACAAAATAATAAAGACAAAGAAGTTGGAAGAACGTAAATGGCTTTATTTTATACAAAGAGAATGTAAAAGGTGTAGAAATATATTGTGCTTTCTCTCTGACCCTGAAAAGAAAAGCTAGCTAATATTACAAAAACTTCTCCTTACTCACAAACCACATGCTGCAAGAACGTGGTTCTGTTTATAATATCAATATAGTGCCAAATCAAGAAGTTTAGTTTTGAGAAAGTTCACTCAGTAGCATTTCATTGCTGAGTAAGTAACCTGAGAGGAGAGTATCTGTTTGCACACAATAAAGTTTTCTCTGATTGGTTGCCAAAATATATGAAGGTCACACAACTAGTTCTCAATAACTAGAACTAGATGATATCCCTAGGGCCATGAAACAAGAACAGTAGGTTAAATAAAGGGATCAATTCAGAATTCCCTGTAGGCTACCCAGATAAATATGCATCTGTGGAAAGCTGGAGGGTACAACGGCCAAAACGTAATATACACAACAAAAATGAGGACAATAGTTAAAAAATAAATAGTGCAAATAATGTTGTGGACAGGATTTGTATATAAAGCTTGTAGCATGATGTTTGGGTAAAAATAAAAAACAAAACATAGAATATAAAACAAACAACAATTAATGTACACAATCAAAATCAAAGGAAAAGACATTAAAACTAGTTATTAGAATGTGTTTGTGTGTGTGAAACAAGTTTGTGTGTATGTGTGTGAGTGTTCAGTAATCAGTGGATGAAGGAAGGGGACATGCCTTGACAGTGCCATTCTTTATCTATGTTCGACTACATTTCAAAGCAAGATGTAAAAAAAAGAATGTCACTGGATCTTTTCTGTCAATTCAACCCAAATAATGTAAAATTACTTATAACAAATATTAATTCCCCCCCAAGAAATTATAAATTTTAAATGAATGTTTGCTTGTTTAATTAAATTTTTGGCACTCTTGAAATTATAAATCAAAATTTTATTTAACTTGACTTACAACAACTCCAACCCTCAGAATGAAAAATTACCAAAAATCAAGGAATTATTCACATTTTGTAAGTGCGGATGCTATTCAAGGTACTTACAAGGAATTTTTACAATTTAAAAAAAAAAATGAAGAAAAAATTTTGTTTTTGGCTTGTTTATCGGGGTGAACACAAACGTAGACCCCCACATATAGAGATAGCAAATCCAAGTCATCCACATTTGGGATGATCACAAAGGTCAACCCAACTGGAGTTGCTCTGGAAGAATTTGGTGTGAATTAATATAAATATAAATTCATTTTATTTTGGGGTGAATTAGCAGAAACAATCCATGCCAACTAACAAGCATTTTTGGCAAAGCCAAGTAGGGTGACCAGAAGTTAAATAAAAAAGCCAAAATCTGTTTCCTACATCTACATCTGAAATCGTCAAACCAGTAATATTAATTGACAAAATAGAAAAGTTCTTATGTTATGCAAAGAAGTTCTCAAAACATTAATTTAATAAAGATCCAATGTTTATAGTAAGTATCACTTTTCCCACACCCAATTTTTACCCCGTGTTTTTACATGTTACAATCCACTTGCTGTTACAATAAAAATGAAAAATAGCCAAAAGAGGGGAGGTGATGTATGCATCTGTGTAAACAGAACAGGTAAAGAATGTCAATAAACTGGTGTCATTTAATTTTGTTTGTGTTTTTTCTTTACAATTTACATTATTACAATTCTTCTTTTTTTTACCACATTGACAAAAGATTAAAACAAAAAATTAGTCACATTTTTTCTTGAGTAAAATATTTTAGATGCCAGATACAAAAGATTTCATATTTTAAAATTACACTTTTTTTTTTGCAGTTATTTGCAATTTTATTAATCTGCAATTAGAATGATCATCACCATTTTACTGTTGAAATAAATTGAAATTATTTATTTCAAAATTGAAGTATGTATCAAAAAGTTTGCATTTGTGTTATCTATGATGCATAGGTATAGGTCTTTCTGCATTTGTCTTTGTTGTACCTTAGAAAACTATCATGGCCACAAAATGAGGGATCAGTTCATATATAGAATGTAATATAGAATTAATCCCCCACTTTATATCCACATTATAAGTTCTTGATTGTTTATCAAATTCTGATCAGGTATGAATCCACCACTTTTCCCCAGTTATGGGTTAATTAGACTTGCATTACTAAACCATTATTATCTCCAAAGGAGAAAAAAATTCTTACAATCTAAAAATATTTTCTGGCCTTAAATAAGTGTTGATAAGCCATAGGAAATGAATGAGTCAATTAATAAGAGGTGCTGAAAAGTTCTTAACCCCATCAAGGGGAGATTACAAAATGTTTTCATGTTTGATCATTTGGTCAAATTTTGGTTATAACAGTGTAGTAGTATCCCTAGTTCAGTGTTTTACTGCATGAGAGTACTTAATGACAATTTGAAGCAGGAAATAAGATTAAACACAGAAACTAAGTGTCAAGGAAAATAAGGAAAGAAAAAACAGGTTAATAATAATTAGAGCTCATAAAATGATTTTAGAGAAGGCTCCAGGAAGATTTGAACCTGAAATAAACCAAGTAACCAAATAGAGATTTAATAAGATTACGTCAGACCCAACCTACCCAGTTGCCTTTGGGCAATATGATAAAGATTTATGATCTTGTAAAATTTCTCAAATTCCAGGGAATAAACCTTGCTCTGTTTATATAAACACTATTATATGTCCCCCAACTCTTCATATTGTTAGCAAAATTAAAACCTAAGGTTTGGCCTGACCACATTCCAAAGTCGGCCATCTGTTATTGGACAAAAGAAAGTCATGAATATCTTATCAAAATCAAAGACAGAAGTGCACAAACTTTCTTATATAAATGCAACAAGCAAAAGCCAAGGAGACAGATGTGACCAGACAAGATAACAAGAAAATAGTTGATGTCCATTATAAATCTCCTTTCCTCTCGCTACTACTTCTGCCATGAATGAACCCACAGCCACAAACCCAATAAACAAGAATACCCTGCCAGGACCGAGGTCTCTCAAATTATAACAATTACTGCTAGAATAATTTTTCTGCTGAACGATCATCAATCAGGCTACATAGATTAACAATTCTTTCCTCCTTAAGTACTTTTAAATTTTTCAGTTTCTTATCATTAAACCTGTTATTAGTTATCGACACAGTTTGTTGGTTTATGCTGTGAAA